ACCATAGTAATTATATTTCTATGATTTGAACTCCCTCTCTTTGTGAGCCACTGGAATTATTCCTTAGTCCAGATTATAGCCAGGCTAAACCAGACGGAATCCTCCCAATCCCAATCCCCATATTCCCAACAGAACATAATCCCATTCTAGTTTTGATGGCACACAGTCACAGCTCCAGGTTTCTCTGTTTAGGTAATACACACACATCTTTCTGTCAGTCAGTCTACCCTAAACTGATACACATACGATGGATGACACATTACTAAGGCAGAGGTTGTTCAAATAGAACCTTCTGTTATTTACCAAATCTATTGTCCAAATCTAGTGCATCTGTCTCTCTCTCTCTCCTCTCTCTCTCTCTCTCTCTCTCTCTCTCTCTCTCAATTCAATTCAATTCAATTCATTTCAGTAGACTTTATTGACATGGCATGTTAAATTACTTGCATTGTCAACGTATACATATAACAAAAAATGGTGGGACCAACAGCAATAACAATAGTAGTGGTGGAAATGGGATTACCATTAACAGCAACTACAACAACAATATTAATGAGAATAACAATACATTAAAGCAATAGTAGTCGACCAATCTCAACACGACTGAGAAGCCACATGACACGCTATGAAAGCCGAAACAAAACCAGAATGGGAAATATTATTGACATTACATTACACTTTTCACTGGCTGTCCCTCAGGTTGTGGCAAGAGGACACATTTTGGCTTTTCACCCAATAAATATTTTATAGTTTCAAATTCTTTGTACTGAATGATAATTTTGGGAAAGAAAGATTCTCTTAGGTCTGAGTATTTGTCACAGTGTAGTAGGAAATGCAGCTCTGTCTCTACCTCTCCCCGGGGGCAGAGTGAGCACAGCCTGTCCTCTCTGGGCAGCCAGGTTTGCCTGTGACGACCGGTCTCTATAGCCAGACTGTGCTCACTGAGTCTGTACCTAGTCAGTGTTCTCCTCAGTTTTCTATCAGTCACAGTGGTCAGATAGTCTGCCACCATGTACTGTCTGTTTAGAGCCAAATAGCATTGAAGTTTACTTTGATTTTTTGTGGTGTCTTTCCAATAGGTGATATATTTTTCTTTTTGCTTTGTGATGATTTGGTTGGGGCCAGATTTTCTGAGTGCTGTCCGGAGGCTCTATGAGGGTGGTTTTGGGTTAGTGAACTGAGCCTCAGAACCAGCTGGCTGAGGGGACTCTTCTCTTGTTTCATTTTTGGGCCCTCGAAAGGGGTTTTGTGTGATGGAATTTTTTTGGGGGTTTCACTTGTTTTTAGATTTTGAAAAATTTGATGGCTTTTTTTTTCTTTTTCAAAATTTTTTGGGCACTCTCTCATGAAAGATTTGTTTGGGGTTTTTGCCCCTTTTTGGAAAAGGTATTTTTAAGGCGGCCCCCCTATTTCCCTTTCCAATAGACCCAATTTGGGTTCTATCCCCTGTTTGGGAACTTTTTGACCCAATTCAAAGGGGGAAATTTTTGATTAAAATTTTTCCTTTTAATGACATAAAAAGGCCTTCTAGCTTCTTTTTCTCTTTTCGCTCTTGTGGACAGAGGGGGAAGTATTTAGTTTTCCCTCCAGGATCAGGGCCGACAGACTCGCGGGTTTTCCCACTTCTTGGTACCCCTTTTGATAAATTTTGCCCCGGGTTGGGAAAACCCCACCCCCCATCTTATTTTTTTCCTTATCCTTGGGGCGGCTGCCTATATGGATTCCAAATTTTAGAAATGCCAAGGCACGGCATCATATATTTGTACAGCACTCTCCCCCTCCCCTCCCCTCTCTCCTCCCCCTCTCCCTGAGGAAGGGAAAAGGTTTGGGGCGAACTAAAAGTGATGAGTCAGTGGGTTTCCCTCTGGCCCCGGGAAGGAGGAAAAATGGGGGAGTTAATGGTTTAGAGATTGGGATTTGCGTGAGAAAAAAGAGGGTTTGATCGTTGAATAAAAAGACAGGGGTGATTTTTAGGGTTTTCATCTCCCTTTTCCTTTTCTCTTCAAATTCCCCTTCCCCCCCCCCACAGGGCTTTTTCAGAGAGTTTTTTGGGGTGGCGCGGGGCGTTTCCCCAAAATTGAAGTATGGTCAGTGCAGGGAGCGTGCTTTTGATGATCAATTTACAGCTTTTTACTGTCCCCTTTCCCCCGGGGATGATGACTGGAACGCTTCTGGGGGCCCGATGCACTCTGCCCCCTCTATGAACTACAAAACTCCCAAAAAACATACTGCAGGGAGACCACCCATACAGGTACCTACCCTCAAAAAAAGGCATACTGCAAAGGGGAACAAAGACCTATACCGGGCCTAAAAGCTCCAAAAAAAAAGACATACTGCCCGGGAGACACACACCTATAAAATTTTCCACAGCATACTTCAGGTGAGAAAACCCAAACCCATACAAAGGACCCACACTTTAAAAAAAAAACGCAGGGGAGACAACCCCTAACAGTACCTAAGACATACGCAGGTGAAACACCCACCTATACGGTGCCTACATTTAAACAGACCTACTGCAGGTGAACACAGACCATACAGGTAAACCTACCGACCTACGCAGGTGGACACAGACCTATACGGTACCCCACACTCAAAACCCAAAATACTGCCGGGGAGACACCCACCATACAGGTACCTCCCGACAACTGCAGGGGATACACAGACCATACAGGTACCTTTCACTCAAAAAAGACATAAAGGGAGGTTAAAACCAGACCTACAGGAAACCCACACTCAAAAAAACAAAAAAAAACCCCCCGGGGGGGAGGGGAGACAAAACACCATACGGTAAACCCCAAAAAAGAAACTTTCAGGTTGATGAACACACACCTATACAGGTACCTTCCAGCGTTTCTGCTGCATTCATTTAGCTGTGGCGCTGCGGCCATACTATGATGTTTTTTTGAGGGGAACATCATAGTATTTCTACCAAAACACACTTTCGATAAAAAAGTGTTGTTATGTACATTATCACCTCTCCAGGTAAAACACTGTGGCAGCCGAACCTGCCGCCTGCACGCAAAACACAGAGCACTGTCCTTGAGACGTTGCGCTAGTTCACTGTCCTGGAGACGCTGCGCTAGTTCACTGTCCTGGAGACGCTGCGCTAGTTCACTGTCCTGGAGACGCTGCGCTAGTTCACTGTCCTTGAGACGTTGCGCTAGTTCACTGTCCTGGAGACGCTGCGCTAGTTCACTGTCCTGGAGACGCTGCGCTAGTTCACTGTCCTTGAGACGTTGCGCTAGTTCACTGTCCTTGAGACGTTGCGCTAGTTCACTGTCACTTGAGACGTTGCGCTAGTTCACTGTCACTTGAGACGTTGCGCTAGTTCACTGTCACTGGAGAGACCCGTAGAGACGGGCTGAGCACCAAGTCACGGAATACATATTAGGATATTTTCCTTCCTCCTCCTCCTCCTCCTCCTCCCTCCTCCTCCTCCTCAGACCTCACTCCTCCCCTAGTCAAGTGTCAAGCAGTTTTGCCATGGGGTTGTGTTGCAGTTTTGCCATGGGGTTGTGTTGCAGTTTTGCCATGGGGTTGTGTTGCAGTTTTGCCATGGGGTTGTGTTGCAGTTTTGCCATGGGGTTGTGTTGCAGTTTTGTAGCTAATTTCCTGCAATTCTACACATTTTGCCCTGAGGCTGAGAGAAAATGTTGCTGTTTTAAAGCAAATTTCATGCAATTCTACACAATTTTCCATGAGGCAGAGAGAAATATTTGCAGTTTTAAAGCGAATTGTATTTTACTGTAATTCAAATGTTTTTGCCATGGCTTATAACGTGTTTATATGCAATCTGGGGGGGGGGGAATATGCAATCTTTACTCTGTCTGTCTCTATTGGCCAATCTCTACTGTCTGTCTGTCTCTATTGGCCAATCTCTGCTCTGTCTGTCTCTATTGGCCAATCTCTACTCTGTCTCTATTGGCCAATCTCTACTGTCTGTCTCTATTGGCCAATCTCTACTGTCTGTCTGTCTCTATTGGCCAATCTCTGCTCTGTCTGTCTCTATTGGCCAATCTCTACTGTCTGTCTGTCTCTATTGGCCAATATCTGCTCTGTCTGTCTCTATTGGCCAATCTCTACTCTGTCTGTCTCTATTGGCCAATCTCTACTCTGTCTGTCTCTATTGGCCAATCTCTGCTCTGTCTGTCTCTATTGGCCAATCTCTACTGTCTGTCTGTCTCTATTGGCCAATCTCTGCTCTGTCTGTCTCTATTGGCCAATCTCTACTGTCTTTCTGTCTCTATTGGCCAATCTCTGCTCTGTCTGTCTCTATTGGCCAATCTCTACTCTGTCTCTATTGGCGCAATCTCTACTGTCTGTCTCTATTGGCCAATCTCTACTCTGTCTGTCTCTATTGGCCAATCTCTACTCTGTCTGTCTCTATTGGCCAATCTCTGCTTTATCTGTCTCTATTGGCCAATCTCTACTCTGTCTGTCTCTATTGGCCAATCTCTGCTTTGTCTGTCTCTATTGGCCAATCTCTGCTCTGTCTGTCTCTATTGGCCAATCTCTACTGTCTTTCTGTCTCTATTGGCCAATCTCTGCTCTGTCTGTCTCTATTGGCCAATCTCTACTCTGTCTCTATTGGCCAATCTCTACTGTCTGTCTCTATTGGCCAATCTCTACTCTGTCTGTCTCTATTGGCCAATCTCTACTCTGTCTGTCTCTATTGGCCAATCTCTGCTTTATCTGTCTCTATTGGCCATCTCTACTCTGTCTGTCCTCTATTGGCCAATCTCTGCTTTGTCTGTCTCTATTGGCCAATCTCTGCTCTGTCTGTCTCTATTGGCCAATCTCTACTGTCTTTCTGTCTCTATTGGCCAATCTCTGCTCTGTCTGTCTCTATTGGCCAATCTCTACTCTGTCTCTATTGGCCAATCTCTACTGTCTGTCCTCTATTGGCCAATCTCTACTCTGTCTGTCTCTATTGGCCAATCTCTACTCTGTCTGTCTCTATTGGCCAATCTCTGCTTTATCTGTCTCTATTGGCCAATCTCTACTCTGTCTGTCTCTATTGGCCAATCTCTGCTTTGTCTGTCTCTATTGGCCAATCTCTACTCTGTCTGTCTGTGAACCCCCTGAATCTGGCCGCTCTCTAGGATGCAGGCTTTTGTTCCAGCCCACACAACGTTGTCCCGAAGCTGTGGGACTCAGCGTCCTATATCTATTTCGTAACAACATTGATCACCCCCTCCTCCTCCTCCTCCCAGGCTCTCCTGGCCGTGCTGAGAGAGAGCCACCGCACGCGGACCGTCTTCCGGAAGGTTGGCGGCTTCGTGTACGTCACGTCCCTTCTCGTCGCCATGGAGCGCTCGCTCTGCCAGCCGCCACGTCACGGATGGGAGCGGGCCAATCAGAACCAGGTGTTTGAGCTCCTGCACACCGTCTTCTGCACGCTGACTGCTGCCATGCGGTACGAACCCGCCAACTCGCACTTCTTCAGGACAGAGATCCAGTACGAAAAACTGGCAGACGCCATCAGGTAAAAAGGACATGTTTGATAAATCTCTCATTCTGTTTTCAGGTTTGTTTTTCACATTCGACAAACCCCATTCGATAGAACCCCACTTCGGCCCCGAACTTGAACCATCCACCCATAGGAAAACATTGAAAGCTGTCATTTGTGATTGTAGCTGATTGGTCAGCCAATTGAGGTGTGGTCTTACTTGCGTGTAATAGACAGACAGACAGACAGACAGACAGACAGACAGACAGACAGACAGACAGACAGACAGACAGACAGACAGACAGACAGACAGACAGACAGACAGACAGACAGACAGGCAGGCAGGCAGACAGACAGGCAGGCAGACAGGCCGACAGACAGACAGACAGACCGACCGTCATCCTTCACATGAGTCACATTCCTGTAAAATGTTGATGTTAAAAGGGCTTAATAAATTGCAATGACTGTAATGTTTGCTTTACCTACCTTAGCTTATGCACTCTGGATAAGAGTGTCTGCTAAATGACACAAATGGAAAGCTAAGTAAATCAAATTGATTGATTGATTGATCTCGATTGATTGATTGATCCATGCCCCACCACCTCCAGGCTGCTGGGTTGTTTCTCTGAGGCCAAAAAGGTTGGAGCCACGGGGGTGTTCCCCTCCAACGCCCAGCCCTTCCTGAGGCTGCTGGAGGACGAGGGGGTTTCAGTCGGAGCAGGGGGCGAGACCGGAGACGGTGTCTGCCCCACCCTCAAACACTGCAGCAAACTCTTCATATACCTGTACAAGATGGCCACCGACTCCTTCGACAGGTATGTCAGTCACTCACTGAAACAGACTCCTTATATACAAGATGGCCACCGACTCCTTCGACAGGTATGTCAGTCACTCACTGAACAGACTCCTTATATACAAGATGGCCACCGACTCCTTCGACGGTTATGTCAGTCACTCACTGAAACAGACTCCTTATATACAAGATGGCCACCGACTCCTTCGACGGTTATGTCAGTCACTCACTGAAACAGACTCCTTATATACAAGATGGCCACCGACTCCTTCGACGGTTATGTCAGTCACTCACTGAAACAGACTCCTTATATACAAGATGGCCACCGACTCCTTCGACAGGTATGTCAGTCACTCACTGAAACAGACTCCTTATATACAAGATGGCCACCGACTCCTTCGACGGTTATGTCAGTCACTCACTGAAACAGACTCCTTATATACAAGATGGCCACCGACTCCTTCGACAGGTATGTCAGTCACTCACTGAAACAGACTCAGTAGTCAATTACTGAAGATTACAGTAATATGACCATTAATTTCAGGTACTTACTGAAACCAAACCAGGCCTAGCACCAAATATGGTTCCTCAAACCTTAAATAAAGGGTGGTTTTGGAGTCATTTTAACATTCCATGACAATCACATATTCAAAACTCGTACCGAACAATTCTCCATTCTGCTGTAGTCTGTAATGCAAAGCCCCCAGGTCAACACTTTTCGATTCGGACTTCCTATCAATCGATCTCTTCTGAGACAAACAAGTCATACCTCAATACAGCAACATGGCAGTTGTGCAGCCGTGACTTGGCTATGCTGCCTTGTGAATGAAGAGCCTTTCTACCACACTGTTGTAGTGTAATGTACATGTAGCTTTAGCATTAGCCTCCTGGTAGTGTGCTAGCTAGCTATGCTCTGAGCGCTCTTCTCTTTCAGCCTTCTAACTAACAGCTTCCCTCCTTCCTCTCCTTCTCTCTGTCCTCTAACCTTTGTCGCTTCTGGCTGTGGTGGTGGTTCCTGGCTGTGTGGTGTTCCTGGCTGTGTGTGTTCCGGCTGTGTGTGTTCCTGGCTTGTGTGGTGTTCCTTGCTGTGTGTGTTCCTGGCTGTGTGTGTTCCTGGCTGTGTGTGTGTTCCTGGCTGTGTGTGTGTTCCTGCTGTGTGTGGGTTCCTGCTGTGTGTGTTCCTGGCTGTGTGTGTGTTCCTGGCTGTGTGTGTGTTCCTGGCTGTGTGTGTGTTCCTGGCTGTGTGTGTTCCTGGCTGTGTGGTGTTCCTGGCTGTGTGTGTTCCTGGCTGTGTGTGTTTCCTGGCTGTGTGTGTTCCTGGCTGTGTGTGTTTCCTGGCTGTGTGTGTTTCCTGGCTGTGGTGTGTTCCTGGCTGTGTGTGTTCCTGGCTGTGTGGTGGTTCCTGGCTGTGTGTGTGTTCCTGGCTGTGTGTGTGTTCCTGGCTGTGTGTGTTCCTGGCTGTGTGTGTTCCTGGCTGTGTGTGTTCCTGGCTGTGTGTGTGTTCCTGGCTGTGTGTGTGTTCCTGGCTGTGTGTGTTCCTGGCTGTGTGTGTTCCTGGCTGTTGTGGTTCCTGGCTGTGTGTGTTCCTGGCTGTGTGTGGTTCCTGGCTGTGTGTGTTCCTGGCTGTGTGTGTTCCTGGCTGTGTGGTTCCTGGCTGTGTGTGTTCCTGGCTGTGTGTGTTCCTGGCGGTGTGTTTCCTGGCTTGTGTGTGTTCCTGGCTGTGTGTGTTCCTGGCTGTGTGTTTGGTCCTGGCTGTGTGTTTCCTGGCTGTGGTGTGTCCTGGCTGTGTTGTTCCTGGCTGTGTGTGTTCCTGGCTGTGTGTTTCCTGGCTGTGTGTTCCTGGCTGTGTGTTTCCTGGCTGTGTGTTCCTGGCTTGTGTGTTCCTGGCTGTGTGTTTCCTGGCTGTGTGTGTTCCTGGCTGTGTGTGTGTTCCTGGCTGGTGTGGTGTTCCTGGCTGGTGTGTGTTCCTGGCTGTGTGTGTTGTTCCTGGCTGTGTGTGTGTTTCCTGGCTGTGTGTGTTCCTGGCTGTGTGTGTTTCCTGGCTGTGTGTGTGTTCCTGGCTGTGGTGTGTGTTCCTGGCTGTGTGTGTTCCTGGCTGTGTGTGTTCCTGGCGTGGTGTTCCTGGGGCGTGTGTTCCTGGCTTGTGTGTGTTCCTGGCGTGTGTGGTTCCTGGCTGTGTGTGTTCCTGGCTGTGTGGTGTTCCTGGCTGTGTGTGTGTTCCTGGCTGTGTGTTGTTCCTGGCTGTGTGGTGTTCCTGCTGTGTGTGGTTTCCTGGGCTGGTGTTTGTTCCTGGCTGTGTGGTGTTCCTGGCTGTGGGTGTTCCTGGCTGTGTGTGTGTTTCCTGGCTGTGGTGTGTTCCTGGCTGTGTGTTGTGTTCCTGGCTGTGTGTGTTCCTGGCTGTGGTGTGTTCCTGGCTGTGTGTGGTTCCTGGCTGTGTGTGTTCCTGGCGTGTGTGGTTCCTGGCTGTGTGTGTTTCCTGGCTGTGTGTGTTCCTGGCTGTGTGTGTTCCCTGGCTGGGTTGTTCCTGGCTGTGTGTGTTCCTGGCTGTGGTGTTTCCTGGCTGGTGTGTTCCTGGCTGTGTGTGTTCCTGGCTGTGTGTGTTCCTGGCTGTGTGTGTTCCTGGCTGTTGTTTCCTGGCGGTGTTCCTGGCGTGTGTGTTCCTGGCTGTGTGTGTTCCTGGCTGTGTGTGTTCCTGGCTGTGTGTGTTCCTGGCTGTGTGTGTTTCCTGGCTGTGTGTGTTTCCTGGCTGTGTGTGTTCCTGGCTGTGTGTGTTCCTGGCTGTGTGTTCCTGGCTGTGTGTTCCTGGCTGTGTGTGTTCCTGGCTGTGTGTGTTCCTGGCTGTGTGTGTTCCTGGCTGTGGTGTTCCTGGCTGTGTGTTTCCTGGGCTGTGTGTTCCTGGCTGTGTGTGTTTCCTGGCTGTGTGTGTTCCTGGCTGTGTGTGTTCCTGGCTGTGTGTGTTCCTGGCGTGTTTCCTGGCTGTGTGTGTTCCTGGCTGTGTGTGTTCCTGGCTGTGTGTGTTCCTGGCTGTGTGTGTTCCTGGCTGTGTGTGTTCCTGGCTGTGTGTGTTCCTGGCTGTGTGTGTTCCTGGCTGTGTGTGTTCCTGGCTGTGTGTGTTCCTGGCTGTGTGTGTTCCTGGCTGTGTGGTTCCTGGCTGTGTGTGTTCCTGGCTGTTGTGTTCCTGGCTGTTTTTGTTCCTGGCTGTGTGTGTTCCTGGCTGTGTGTTTTCTGGCTGTTGTGTTTTTCCTGCTGTTGTTTTCGGTTTTGGGTCCGTGGGGTTCCGGCTGTGTTGTTCCTGGCTGTGTGTGTTCCTGGCTTTTTGGGTGGTTTCCTGCTGTTTGTTCCGGTGTGTGTGTTCTGGCGTGTGTGTTCCGGTGTTGGTCCGGCTGTGTTGTTCCTGGCTGTGTGTGTTCCTGGCTGTGGTTCCTGGCTGTGGGGTTCCTGGCGTGGTGTGTTCGTAAATTGTCTTGGTGTCCATGTGTTATTTGATGGGGTGTGTGTTGTGCTCCCGCCTGATTGTGTTGTGTTCCTAAATGTGTGTGTGTCCTGTGTCCTGTGTGTGTGTGTGTGTGTGTGTGTGGTTCAGTCGTTCGGAGCAAGTCCCCCCCTGCCTGACTCACGAGACCTCCCTGCCCTCCCCCTGGGGGACGCCAGCACTCGCCAGGAAGGTAGCAAACTGCGCTCTGAACTTCTCCTCCCCCTCTTCCCCTCCCCCCTCTTTTCTCCTCCGCCTCTCCCTGCTGTCTCTCCACTCTTTTCTTTCCCCTATGTCAGCTATGCTGCTATTCATGCTGCTCTGAACCAACTCCCTCTCCAAAGCTCTTTTTTCTCGTTATCTGCTCTCTTTGCCCTCTCTTTCTGTTTCTCTTTCTCTGTTTCTCTGTTTCTATCTTTTTCTGCCCCTCCCCTCTCTCCCTAGTTCTGCTGAAAACCTTCCTTTAAGCCGTCTGCACTCCTCCTCTCTCCTCTCCTTCCTCCTCTGCTCTCCTCTCCTCCTCTGCCCTGTCTCTCTCCTCTGCTAGTTCTGCGTGACACCTTCCTTTAAGCCGCTGCACTCCTCCTCTCTCCTCTCCTCTCCTCCTCTGCTCTCCTCTCCTCCTCTGCCCTGTCTCTCTCTCTGCTAGTTCTGCTGATACCTTCCTTTTAAGCCGTCTGCACTCCCTCTCATCTCCTCTCCTCCTCTGCTCTGCTCTCCTCCTCCTCTCCTCCCCTCCTCCTCTTTTGCTCTCCTCTCCCCTCCTCCTCTCTGCTCCCCCTCTCTGCTCCCCCTCCTCTCTTCCCTCCTCCTCTCTCCTCTCTCCCTTCCTCCTCTCTCCTCTCCTCCTCTCTCCTCTCCTCCTCTGCCCTGTCTCTCTCTCTGCTAGTTCTGCTGAAAACCCTTCTTTTAAGCCGTCTGCACTCCTCCTCTCGGGCTCTCCTCCTCTCTGCTCTGTTTCTCCCCTCCTGCTCTCCTCCTCTCTCCCCTCCTCCTCTCTGCTCTCTCGCTCCCCCTCTCCTCCTCTCTGCTCTCCTCTTCTCTCCTCCTCTCTGCTCTCCTCTCTCCTCTCCTCCTCTCTGCTCTCCTTTACTCCTCTCTGCTCTCCTCTGCTCTCCTCTCCTCCTCTCTCCCCCTCCTCCTCTCTGCTCTGCTCTCCTCCCCCTCCTTTTCTCCTCTCCTCCTCTCTCCCCTCTCCTCTCTTCGCTCTCCTCTCCTCTCTCTTCTACTCCTCTCTGCTCTCCTCTCTCCCTTCCTCCTCTCTGCTTTCCTCCTCTCTCTCCCCCTCCTCCTCTTTTCGCTCCTCCTCTTTTTCCTTCCTCCTCTCGCTCTGTTTCTCCTCCTCTCTGCTCTCCTCCTCTCTCCTCTCCTCCTCTCTGCTCTCCTCCTCTCTCCTCTCCTCCTCTCTGCTCTCTCTCCTCTCCTCCTCTCTCCCCTCCTCTCTGCTCTCCTCCTCTCTGCTCTCCCCTCCTCCTCTCTCCTCTCCTCCTCTTTGCTCTGCTCTCCTCCTCTCTCTGCTCTCCTCCACTCCTCCACTCTCCCCTCCTCTCTGCTCTCCTCCTCTCCTCTCTGCTCTCCTCTCCTCCTCTCCTCCCTCCTCCCCTCCTCCTCTCCTCTCTGCCTCTCTCCTCCCCCCTCTCCTCCTCTACTCTCCCCCCTCCTCCTCTTTTCGCCTCTCCTCTCCTCTCCTCCTCTCTCCCCCCCTCTCTGCTTCTCCCTCCTCTCTGCTCTCCCCTCCTCCTCTCTCCTCCTCCTCCTTTTTTCTCTGCTCCCCCTCCTCTCTCTGCTCTCCTCCACTCCTCCTCCCCTCCCCCTCCTCTCTTCTCTCCTTCCTCCTCCCCCCACTCTCCCCTCCTCTCTCTCTCCTCCTCTCCCTCCTGCTCTCCCTCTCCTCCTCTCCTCCTCTCCTCTCTCCTCTACTCCTCTCTGCTCTCCTCCTCTCTCCCCTCCTCCTCTTTGCTCTCCTCTCCTCCTCCATCAGCGTGGCTATGTTCTCTAATTACATGAGTACTCTTGCTGAAAACATCTCTGGTTTTCCAAAGTAAGGAGTACAGCAGCTTGGTGTGAGGACTAAGAGAGGAAGGAGACAGACAGACAGACAGACAGACAGACAGACAGACAGACAGACAGACAGACAGACAGACAGAGAGGCCGTGTTCAAGACTAAAAGCATCAATTTTGCTCAGTCACTGATCATCGACTGACTGATCTACAGATAACAATGTGTAGTTATTGAGGATGCAAGTAAATCAAAAATATGTCAGTCTGCAGTAAATCAGTCTGCAGTAAATCAATCAGTCTGCAGTCTGCAGTAAATCATCAGTCTGCAGTCTGCAGTAAATCAGTCTGTCTGCAGTAAATCAGTCTGTCTGCAGTAAATCAGTCTGTCTGCAGTAAATCCGTCTGTCTGCAGTAAATCCATCTGTCTGCAGTAAATCTGTCTGTCTGCAGTAAATCCGTCTGTCTGCAGTAAATCCATCTGTCTGCAGTAAATCGTCTGTCGCTAAATCCATCTCGCATAAATCTGTCTGTCTGCAAAAATCTGCCCTGTCTGCGTA